GGAAGCACTTTTTCTACTGAGCCACCTCCCCGGGCCCCCGATCCACTTTCTGGTTCACTGACTCTGTTGTCATCTCAATTCTGCTATCAACCCTTCTAAGTTAGCTTTTTACTTATTTTACAGTTATTTTCAGGCCTAACATTTCTGTTTTATCCTTTTTTTTTTGGCTGAAGTTTCTTGTTTCCATTTGTTTTGAGACTGTTCAGGATTGTTTGTTAGGACAGCTTTATAATCATTATTTAGGTGTTTGACAGATAATTTCAGCCTTTAGAGTTGGCATTTGTTGATGGTATTTTCCCATATAAGCTGAGATTCTCCTGGCTCTTTGTATACTGAATTATTGGGACTATCCTGGATATTTTGCATGTCATGCTGTGGGGGTCTAAGTGTACAGATCCTCTTGGGAGTATCAGAATTTTGTTCTAGTCAGCAATTGAAGGGTCCAGGGAGGTAGCTCAGTAGAATAAGTGCTTGTCTGACAAGCACAAGGGCCTGAGTTCAGTCCTTGGTTCTGGAAAAAAAAAAAAAATTGATCAGTTAGATCTGGGCTGCATTTCAACTTGCTTTCAGTGCACTGTGATTTCGATGCAGGTTCAGTTTTCAAAGCTATTGTGGCCCTTTTAAAGTCTGATCTGTGTGTGTCCCCCCTATTGAGACTGGGCCCCGGACGGGAGTTTTTAATCCTTGAAGCTTTAGTATGTTGAGTAAGAACAGATCCAGGTATGAGCAATGGAGAGGCGGGCACAGGCACCCATGGCAACTTAGTGGAGTTGCTTTGTCAGACAGCCCTCTCCACCATCTCCCTGTGCTTCTCCGGACTCTCCCTTTGGAAACTTTAATTACCCCACTCTGTCACTCACTCACGCTACTGTGCTGTCAGCCAAGGCCAGGTGTTAGGAGAACTGATTGGAAACCAAACCAACCAAGGGGAATTCCTGTCAGCTCAGCAGAGCCTGCAGATCTAGTCCCTGTCTCTTCATTGCTATCTTCTTTCAGAGTTCTTAGGGGACAGCTTTGTCTCTCTTAGAATGCAATCCATCCAGGTTTCTTTTAATTACACATATTTTATTTTTCAGTTCTGAAATTTCCATTTGCCCCTTTCTCTTTCTCTGCTGAGAACAGTTTTCCTTCTGTTCATGGTATGTATTTAACATTATCTCATGGAGCCATATGAGGTCTTTAACAGTGCCTCCATGTAGGTCATCTGGAGGTTGAGATCTAGTGACTTTTTTTTTTCCCTTGGGAGCTGGTGACATTTTTTCTGGAATATTCTTGTGTATTTAAAGTTTTGTATTATATACTTAGCATTATCAATAGTATTTTAGTTAGATGCTGGGCTGTGTTCTTCAAGTTTTAGCTCCCTTCTACAGTCTGCCTGTATAAGTTTAATTTGAAATATCTTTATGTTATTTCTTTTTGTAAGTTTTTCCAAATATCAGATGTGATTTTTAAGAAGCAAAGCTAGCAGTTGGCATATTTTATCTTATCATTGAGTAACGGTTTAGTTTGCCATTTTCTTAAACATGGACAAAAGATACCTATTAAGCAAACAGAGGAAGACATGAACTGTCTATTTACCAAGGTCCTTTTGTATCTGTGTTTGAATTATTTTTGTTGTTGTTTTTTTCTTTTTCTTTCCTCAGTTCACCCAAAAGCTCCTGAGAGTGTCCAGTTTAAAAATGTAGGTACCACAAATGCCACAGTGACTTGGAAGATGCCTGTCCTTGGGAATTATGTTCCACTCTTGTGCCACATTCAACTCCATGATAAAGAAACTGTAAGACAGGTAAGAACACGGTGTAGATAACTATAGCTGCATCCACCTGTAATCCCAGCGCTTGGGGAGGCTGAGGCAGGAGGATCACAAGTCTAGCTCAGACTGGATAACTTATTTATTTTTTTCCATAATTTTGACAGACAAATAGTAATGAGACAGTTTCAAATCAAATTGGTAGGACAGTTTCAGTAATTAACACATTGCATAGTCTTCATGGTGGTTATTTGCTGTACAAGATGCAGATATGATATCTTATTTACAAACACTATTAGAAAAAATCCCTCTATTCATTAAGAGAATGTAACTATATATCTATCCTAACCACTTTGAATACACAGATACAAAATGGACATTCATTTATATATCCCCTTT